AAAAAAAAAAAAAACAGGTCCACTTTTTAAACTGGCCTAGAACAGGAGCTATTGAAGCTAGCAGGTTCAAAAAAAGAACCAAATGAAAGTTCAATCCAAGCCCTTTCCAAAGATATATGGTTTGATGTCCATGGGTGCCATGGAATGGCTGTCATGGCCAATGGAAAAAATCATACCCCAAAAAAAGGTAGTAAAATGATGGGAAAATGATTGTTCCACCTCAACTAACATTTATTTATTCAAGTAATGTTCAATGTGTCCTCCTTTCTGGTCCACCACTGCTTGCAGTCTCTCTCTCCACATCAAAATTGCCTTGGCAATCTTATAACAATTGGACTTTTAGTCCAATTATTTCACGCAACAAATGAGCAAAGAAACATTTTGAACCAGGGTAAGTGTAAGCTGTAAGTAAGTGTAAGCGTATGTAAGAGTTAGCTTCAATAGTTCCTGTTCTAGACCAGTTTAAAAAGTGGACCTTTTTTTTTGTGCCACCCCCTGTGTCATGTGGTAAGATAAAGGTCTTTCATGCTGTGGCTCTGGGAGATCAAGTAGGCTTTGTTGGCAGCTGTTGTCAAAGGTGAAGAGGGCATATCCAGCATTACCTTGAATATTTGAGTTATGACAATCCTCTGGTCAATATAATGTACACTTTAAAGCAACTCATTTAGAATAGAATGGAAGAATTACTTCAACTTGTCAACATGTTGCTCATGCTGAAGTAAATCATCTTATTGCATTTTAATAATTTGCAGGAGTATATTGTAAAATGTTAATTATCATTTGAAATAAAGGTTGAACTTATTCTTGATGTATATGGCAGACAGAAGGCAATGCTTCGTAAACACTTTTTTTCACTCTTAACCTGCTGCAATTATCTGGTGCATGCTGGACTAGCAGGTGGTGATATATCATGCATTTTATCTGAGGCCTTCATGATTCAAGGTTGACATTTTCCTGGAATAAACCATGAAAGGCATTGCTTCATTCCTGATGTGTTTGTTAGTACCAATTTTGTATGGATGTTTTGAGGCCGAAGCCTTCGAATATGAGGGGTTGGCTCTTTTGAATTTGTGTTTGTTACGATTTACATGTGTTAAAAGTTTCTTATAGTCAGTGGAGTCAACATTAAATAGTTTTTGGCATTTGAAGTTTTTGTTCAAGGGAACACATCCTTAAGGTTGTGTGCTTTTGTGTCAGTAGAATAATAAAAGCTCTGGTTACATATTGTCTTGCTAAACAACTTCATGGCATTCATGAGACCTATTTTGATTAAAGAACCTCCCGACTCTGTCTTTACAGGATAGTACGAGCCTTCCTCATCGAGGAGCAGAAATTGGTCGTGAAGGTCCTGAAGGCCCAGAAGGCAACAACAAAGCCTGTCCCCAAGAAGTGAAATGCACCTCATATTTAAGAGGGGTAAAAAAAAAGCAAACTATTGTTGGTCATCCTTTGAATAAGAGAACCTAAGGCAATGACACCAACAGCATTATTTATTTTCTTTATTGCATCTCCTGGAATGGAGGGAGCCCACTGCACTGATATCACACGTCCCCTCTCGTTCTTTGTCCACGGTAATTTGAAAAAGTGGAGCCTTTTCCCAAATGAAGATCAATACAAGTGACTCACTTGAGAACAAAGTCAGGTTGAGACATCTGTAGGCACATCATCGTCTTCTCGGAGAAGTCCATGTCGCTTACAATGTCGAGTTGAGGTTGAGCAGCAAGTGTGACTTCGATCTTGCTTTGAACGAAAGGGGTATCGGCACTCACTCGTCCACGAATCACCACCCCGGCTCTGCCACGCAAAAAAATCATTCAGTCTGCACATTCTATGCATGCTGATTGACATTCATCATTAACCCCACACATCATTTCTGCATGAGTGTTATCCTGTTGGCAGGGCCTAAAGACATTCAATATGGATAAAAAGTTTGGGATTGGCATGATTCACCAGCTGTTATGTTCAAATGTGGAGCATCCCTCTCTATAAATGGGTATAATCAAAAGGTTGTTGATTCATATTCCTGCCAATGCAACCTGACCTACACTATGGGTCTCCATCTGTTATTTGACATGCATTGGTAGAAGCAATAGATGCCTAAGAAATATCAGGAATGCAAAATTTCCCTAGAGTAAGAGGATTCAACTTAGCAGATGCCCTGGGTGTGTGTCTGTCCTTCATCTAGACCACTTTGAACAGGAGTCTGGAACTTTATGGCCATATGAGCCATACAAAGATTGAAGTAAGTGCTTGTGAGCGAAAGATTTTTAAAACAGTTTTTCCTGAACTTAGCAACAGACATGTGCATTCTCTAATACATGAGACAGACGAGGAACAACCATGACTTTTAGTTTAGCAAAACTTTTCAGTTCATGAACCAACTGACTTGAGACACCCCCTTCAAGACAAGAGATGTCCCCCCCCCCCCCCCCCCCCC